GTGTGTGCCCCAGGGCCCCTTCAGATGGGGCCGCCGCGGCCGCGGGTGTGTTCTCTGCGGGCCCGCGCCCGCCCCCGTCTGGGGCCCCGTGCCGCTCTCACCAGGCGAAGGTGTCCTGCGGGTGGGGGGGCCGCGGTCCTCCCCGCCACCGTCCAGGCCCAGGCCGAGAGATCCCTCGCCCCAGCAGAAGCTGGAGCGGGCGCTCTGTTCTTGCCGCTTTGGGCCTCCGAGGGCCCTCGCTGGGCCCCGGGAGAAAACAAAACAATCATTCAGGACGAACCGGTCCCAGGGAAGTGGACCAGACCTCCAGCGCCCACACCTCGAACAAATTGTAGCGGCTGGATGTCTGGGCTGTGTCCATCCCCGGCATCGTCCAGAGTGACCCTGTGCACGGTTTTCGGGGGGCGCGAGGGGGAGGGGGGGGCAGACCCAAGCATGCCGGCCTCTGCTCCGGCGTCGCACGCGATAATGCGGCAATCCGCGCACCGAAGAACATTCTTGCCCAGAGCCACTCTTGCGCGTGGCTGGCTTGCGCGCGCTCGTTTCGTTGACGGCGGTCGAGTCTTTGTTGGGGCCAGCTGGGCGCGGGCGTGCCAGACCGCGCGGAGCCGCGGGGGCTCGGATCTTGGCCCCAGGATCTCTGGGCCCAGAAGCATCCACAAAATTTAGCACCTCCCCAAACGTCCAAAGCACATCCGAAAAACCTGCCCCAAAAAACATCCCCAAACGTGCCCAAATCCCCAGGACCTCGATGGTCCTCCTCGAGGATGTCCTGCACGCCGTCTGCTGCAGGCAACGGCTGGTCCACGGCTCCGCCGTACCGGCGCGCTCCCTCGATGCGCGGCCGCCTCCTGCGCCGGGGGGGAGCTGCGGAGCTGATCAGCCAACCCTCGCCAGGGGGTGCCCAATCGGTCGTTGAAGGTAGGCATTTGTGGATTCCCAGGGCCCAGTCTGCTTCAAGCGCCTCCCTGCTACAAGAATCGACAGGGTTTGGCTGTTGTCTCTTCTTCTTTGGGCGGACCCGAGCCCAATCTACTTCGCCCGCCTCCCTACTTCATGTTTCTACCTGCTTCTTCCGACCGGCGTGTAAATGTTAAGTCGGGCATGTCCCTCTACAGGAGGAAGTTTCAAAACTAGTCTGGTGACGATTTGTTGGGCTATGTTTGATTATTGTTTGAGTGTGTGTTCGGGTATGTTTTATGTTTCGTCAAAATCCGCCTGTAGGAGGACATGCCCGACCTAAGAGAAACGGGTCCTGAGGGAAGCGGGTGCACGGTAGGTTCGTGTCGTGTCGACCGGCGGCGACCCCGCCGTTGGCGTTCAACGTAGAACGCTGCCGGCGACCCAGGATCCGTCGATGTTGAACGATCCGACGTTTCGGTAAATCCGTAAGGGCTTCGCCCCATGCCGCCGGACCCCTGTCTCGGATTATGGGAGACGCAAAAGCTAAATCATGAGGTCTGGGCGCCGCCGTGAAGCAGTGTCGGGACCTGTTTGTTTTTCGACCCTGACCTTACGGATCTGCATCACGGGTGCCACCGAATTTCAGAAATGTGGCAAATCCCTTGTGTTTTTGAACCCTGACCCTGCGGATCTGCGTGAGGGGTGCCGCCGAATTTCAGAAATGTGGCAAATCCCTTGTGTTTTTGGATCCTGACACTGCCGATCGTCGTGAAGGGTGCCGCCGAGTTTCAGAAATGTGGCAAATCCCTTGTGTTTTTGCACCCTGACCCCGCCGATTTGCGTGAGGGGTGTTAATTTTTACCCACTCCAGCAATTCAGAGCACACGCTCAGGGTGTAGACAAATGCCCGTTTTGGGCCTCACACCCTCGCGCCGTCCATCAACAAGGAAGAGTGAGCAGCAAGAAGCAGAACTGTAACAAGGAACAGTAAGCAGCAAGAACCAGAATTGTAACAGTGTGAACTGGAAGCTGCAACTGGTACAGGAAACTGCGAACCTTAGGCCTACAGCCTGGTGGCCCCACAAGGGGGTCGGCGGATTACCGATCGTTCAAGGTTGAACGTTTCCTCGGTGTCAGGAACCAACGCCCAGGTCGTCACAACACGAACTTGCCGTAAGGTTCCTGAGGCCTTTCGCCGTTTTCGGGCTCTCCAAAGGCCCCGGGACTGGCAGAAAACGGCTCAGGATGAAGATCTGGTCTTGGTGGGAGGCCCCAGTGTCCAGGACCCTTTTCCCTCAGGACCCGTCTTCCCTATGTTGACAACCCTTTTCTTTGCTCGGAGGCGACGATAAGGGGCGAATAGCCCAGGCGAGAGCAATACGTGTATCCAGAGCCTCCGAACGCCCGCGTCTTCGACGAGGCCCCCCCGGCGAAGGCTTGTCACGCCCGCCCCTGGCCGATCACCCCCCCCCCTCTCGTCCGCCCCGACCTGCGAGTCCTATCCGTCCAGGGGGCCTCGCCGAGGACGTGGGCCATCGGCGCCCCTGGAGACACGCATTGCTCCCCCCGGGCCATGCTCGCCCTTGTCTTCGCTCGGGGCGCAAGAGACGGGGGTCAGTGCAAACGGGGGTCAGCCAGGGCCCTGGATCCTGCAGGATCCTTCCAAGACCCCCTTTGGCTGGCCCGGGTTTTAGCGAGCCGTTCTTGGCCGCGAGGCGGCCGCGCATATTGGCTGACCCGGGTTTGCGAAGACCTGCGTTGCAGTTTTTTTCTCCTGCATTGCAGTTTTTTGGTTTCCTGCTGACCTGGGTCTGGATTGAGCCGGGTCAGAAGATCCCCGATTCGCTTCCGCACCCCCTTCTCGGGAGGAAAAAAACATAGAGACACAATTAAGCATGGACTCCCGGGAAAATGTGTGAAACTAGTTCGGAAGGTAGGGGGAAGACGCACACCCGGAAACTATCAGAACATGTGGAGAGTCTTGGGATTCGTGTCTGCTTCTGTGTGTGCCCCTGGGCCCCTCTTCCTCCGTCCGACCCGACATTCAGATCCCAGCGTCGCAGAAGATTCGCCACGCCTCCGCTTCCCTCTCTCTCCCCTGGCCTCCCAGGGGCCGCGCTCTTCTCGGGCCTCGGGGCCGTCCTCGCAGTGAAGAGACGGCCCCTGCAGGGCGCCGAGGGGCCCAGGACGTAAGCGCCGCGTCACGAAGGCGAGGGCTCCCACGAGGGCGCGAAGTTTGTCGCGCTTCGCGGGCCTCATTCCTCCTCCCCCTCCTCCTCGTCCTCCTCTTCTCCCCTTTGGGGGCGGCGCGAGAGCGCGAAGCTGTTCGCGCTTCGCGCAGCGCGAAGCTAGGAGCCCCTGCGAAGAGGAGCCGCGCCGCCGGGCGCGGACCCGGGCCGCAGGGCCCGCGCAGAGTGGGGCTCGAGCATCGCGCCGCAGCGCCCGCCGCCGCTCTCGGCGGTGCGAGACTCGCTTTCGGAGCTCGGGGCGCTCCAGCCCAGCGGCTCCGAACGTCACCGATATGCATCGGCGATGCGGCGCGATCCCGCCGGGGAACAGGAGGAGGGGGAGGGGGAGGAGGAGGAGGAGGAGGAGGAGGAGGAGGAGGAGGAGGAGGAGGAGGAGGAGGAGGAGGAGGAGGAGGAGGAGGAGGAGGAGGAGGAGGAGGAGGAGGAGGAGGGGAGGAGGAGGAGAAGGGAGGAGGGGAGGAGGAGGAGGAGGAGGAGGAGGAGGAGGCGGAGGAGGAGGAGGCGGAGGAGGAGGAGGCTGCGGTCTCGGCCTCTGGACCTTGGGCGTGGCGTGTCGGGCCAGCCTCCTGCCGGGCATGGGGCCGGACCTCGGCTCCCTCTCCGGGCCCTGTCGCCACATCCCAGGGGTATCTCTGCCAGTCATGGGGCCGTCTGGGGCGGGGCGGAGGAGGAGGAAGAGGGAAGGAGGACGAGGATGGTGAAGAGAGGAGGAGGAGGAGGAGGAGGAGGAGGAGGAGGAGGAGGAGGAGGAGGAGGAGGAGGAGGAGGAGGAGGAAAGGGAGGGCAGGGGAGGATGAAGAGCTTGGGGGGGAGAAGGAGGAGGATAATGCAGCAGAAGGTGGGGGACGATGGGGAGAAGTGGGGAGGAGGAGATGGATGAAGAGGCGAGGAGTTCGTTCTCCGAGAGAAGGTATCGTTATCTGGGAAAAGGTTTCGCGCTCCAGGTGTCAGTATGTGAGGAGCCGCGTCAAATTCTTAGCGCTCTGCCGACAGATTTCTTTGCCCGGGTGAGATTATATCAGGGATGTGGAGGATTCTGTCGAAGGCCAATTTCCCAAATGTGAATGCCAACTCTCAATGCTTCAACACTTGTTTCGGGCGGAGCTACCCCAGGTTACCAGGATACCAATTTTGCTTTACCATGTCGTATGTTAGATGAAGCGCGGATGGGAGCACCGACGAAGCTAGTGGACCGAGGCGCGTGGTAATGAAGGATGACGATTATTAAATTACCGGGTGTCGTGTTCACGCGGCGGCGCCCGGGATGACGATTAGAAAAAACCGGCCGCGGGCTGGAAGACTATTTTTTAATCGTTCTCCTCCAGTCAGAAAATGGTGCAGAAATAGCAGAAAACTATGTTTAAATCGTTCTCTTCAATGTTTTTATGAATCGTCATCCAGCATTAATTGATGTCCATGCTCTTCAATCCCAGCCCAACGCCCTGTTGACTTTTTGGTTCACCGCGCGTTACGCAAAGCTCCCCGTGGCAGGCGCACGCGCGAGCCTGGATACTTATGCAGGGCTTGCAGCTTTCTCTCGTCGGCCAATCTGCAGGCGGGGCTTCGGGCTAGAGCGCACGTGTCCCCTCGGCGATGCCAGGAGGGAGTACCTGAACCGCTTCCACAGGGAGGGCCTCTCCAAAGCTGCGGGTACGGCCGAGCGGCCTACTCCAGTCTGACGGCGAGGGATTGACGCCGTCACGCAGCTATTCCAGCTCCCATTCCTCGTCATCCTCCCTCCGCCCTCCTCCTCCCTCTCTCCCTTCCTCTTCCCTCCTCCCCGTCGCCTCCTCCAGCTCTTCCTTCCTCCCCGCTCCCCCCCGCCCGCCCGTGCGCCGCGCCGCAGAGGTGCGGCACCTGAGCCTGCAGGGAAAGGGCGTGCCTGCCCGCGACGCGGAGACCGCCCCCCTTGTTGGTGCTGCGCCTTCCGCCCGGCATCGGCAGAAGATTCAGAGAAGCAGAAAGAGGGCCACGACGAAGAGGGTTTGGGAGGAGGGCGGAAGTCTCAGCCGTGCCACAAGCACCGTTCTTTGGAACCTTCAACGCCGCGGATCAGCGTGACTGTTGCGTCCTGGCAGTCCCAAAATGCCAGAACTCCGTTCTTGGGACTTCAAGTAGCCTCGCGGATCAACGTAATTGCCCAACAATGCGAGTCCTTGAAATTGCCACATTTTTTAAGACGGATGTGTGCGGCGCTGAGGCGAGAGCAACAGTTTGAAATTGAGCCGCCCTCCATATTTGAAACGGCTGCAAATTGTTGAATGTGCGTGGCGTTAAGACGAGAACCATATGCTGAAAACCACATGTCCTTCATGTTTGAAGTTGTTGCACACTGTCAAGACGAATGTGCGCGGTGCTAGGGCGAGAGCCACATGTTGAAAACGAGCCCTCTTTCGTGCGCGAAGTTGCTTCGAACGGTTAAGACGAGTGTGCGCGTCGCCAGGTCGAGAGCCACATTTTGGAAAAACGACCCGCACTCCATCCGTGAAACTGTTTCCATTACAGACGCCGCTGAAAGAAGGAACGCTAAATAAGGAACGAAGCCCCTTCTTGGCCCAGTAAGCGCCTCCGTGCCCCAGAAGGGCAAGAGGAACAGCACTGGAGGAACCTAAGGAACATCGAGCCCCTTCCGAACCCAAACCGTTCCTTGTTTCAGCGTCTTGACTGTATCAGGCTTCGAAATCATACATGGTGGGGAAGTCGCAGGCGGAACGCCCGGCCAGCTCTACCAACACGCCTGGGGGTCCGGCAGGGCGGAGTTCTTTAAAAGGAAACGGGGTGGAGGACAGCGATGATGACGACGCCGACGACGATGATGATGACGACGACGATGTTGATGATAAAGATGCGGATGCTGATAATGATGATGGTAATGTTGTTGCTGCTGATGATGATGGTGATGGTGATGGCGGTGGTGGTGGTGATGGTGTGATGGTGATGGTGATGGTGCTAATTCTAGTGGTGCTGATGATGATGATGGTGATGATGATGGTGATGGTGGTGGTGGTGATGGTGGTGATGATAACGGTAGTGATGATGGTGATGGTTATGCTGATCATGATGTTGCCAGTCATTA